AGGGGTGGGGGGTACACATCCCAAAATACCCCCCGCCGAAAAGGGCTGCTGGGGAAATTGGGGGTGTTAAAGACCCCCATTCTAAAAGCTGCCAAGATTGAGAAACATTGGCTTCGAGAGTAGAAATTCTTTTTATTTTTTGCTGGGTTATTGTTTGTTTCTTGGTTCAACTCCCCACCCTGAAGTTCAGACTGAAATTAGCATTGGTTAGCTCAGCCTGAAAGTAACTGACCAGCTTCTTACAACATGGCTATTGGTATATCAACAACAAAGTCCTTTGTCTCTTCTTTTTTTTTTCTTCTTTTTTTTTTTAGAAAAAAATCTCTAAATTCACCCTGCTTTGTTCAGCCCCACTCCAGTGGGAAAATCTGACAAATTCCAAGGAATGGTTAGATTATACAGTCATATTCACCATAACAACTGTGGCACATGGTTAATAGCACAGAGCTAATGTTCTGTCATGGTGCATAATTAGCACTAAAGGAATGATGGGGGACATAAAAACTTTCTTTTCTGGGTGTATTCCTCTCATAAAACTTTTTCTGGGGCATGATTTGTGACATGAATCGGGCAAAAGTGTTGACAATAGTATCTGGAAAGTTGTGGGTGCAAAGAGCTTTAAGCTCTAACGTAGGAAAAGTCTTCATAGTAGTTCCCTCTTGTACTGTTGCACAGTAACACATTGTCCATCTGTCTGTCTGTTTTCCACTATAAAGCTAACCGACTGGTTCGTTTTCCTTAGGACAAGACAAGTGCGCTCAGCTTGAGCAATGTGGCGGGGGTTTTTTATATCCTCGTTGGGGGCCTCGGCCTTGCCATGACGGTGGCCTTGATAGAGTTCTGTTACAAGTCTCGAGCCGAGTCCAAACGAATGAAACTCACAAAGAACACACAAAACTTTAAGCCTGCTCCTGCACCCAATACCCAGAATTATGCTACGTACAGAGAAGGCTACAACGTGTATGGAACAGAAAGTGTAAAGATCTAGTGGTATGGATAAAGGTTGAGTAAGCAAATCCACTGGTATATGTTTGGTGTTCCTTATGTTGATGTGCTTTGGTGTTGTCTTCTCCCTCTTCGTGTGGAGTAACATTTTAGGATCTTACTTCTCAGACATTGGACACAATGTAGCTAGAAACACCATTTTTAATTCACGAAATGGATTGGATTTTTCCTTAAATCGCTTGTCAACCAACACTTGACAGAGTCTAACAAAGGAGGGGGATAATTCAAGCCATTCATACGCTTCTGTCTATTTCTGGTGGAAGGAGTTGCTGTGATAAAGCACAGTATTTAATATTAAAGTTGTATTCTTTACGTAAATGGGGTATTACCTGGAGATGGCATGATACCCCTCTCTTTCATGGTGTGACACCTTGTCCTCAGTAAATGGACATAGGTTATTTATTTATTTCTTGAAAATGATAAACCATTTCCTCTCTTGGTTTAATTCCAAGAAATTTCAGTAATGAGCAGGAAATTCTGACCACTTGATATTTATTTATTTATTTATTTATTTATTTATTTATTTATTTATTTATT